TTCAAATTAAAGAAATCAATCAACCTTTTTCAACCCTACAATGTTGAGGCAGATAAGAGAGAGGCAGAGGGCGATGAAGATAGGGTTGTCCATTTGGGCTTTGGCCCAAATAGTGCCAGATGTCCGGCCTGGCCCGGCCAGGCCAAAACCTGACCCAGGCACGAAAAAAGCCTAGATGGCCTCACCCGCCCTGGCTTCAGGCTCAGTTCTGGGTTGTTTTGTCGAAGCCTGAGCTAGTTTTTGGAGGTCTAGGCAGAGAAACTCGGTCCGTGTTCGGGTTGGCCCGGACTTGGACTGAGTTTGGGAGACTGAATTGGTCCCTAAGTAACCGTTGGGACTAGGCAAGGATCCAAAGGTCGGCCTGGCTCTGTCCAAGGTCTAGAAAACTAGCCATTAGGATGGGGCGTCCCAGACCCGGCTCGATTTGAGGCAGACCAAAATAGCCAAAACGGCTACATTTTGGTCAAATGACCAAAATACCCTAAAATTGTCAAAAATGCAAAAATTTAAGGATATTTTAGTCATTTGAGTAGGGGGCTCCCTATATAAATAGAGGGGTTTCCATCATGGCTCGTGATTTACTAACAGTTCATGTTTCTATTGCAAATTCGGAATCCGGATGGTTGATTGACAACCACAGAGCATCACTAGATCGATTCATTTACCGTACATGCGGTAATATACTTACAAGATTGATGGAGGTACGAGAAGGAAACTCAAGGCATCAACCGGATAGCTAGTACTAAAGATAGATTTAATGAGTTGATGATAGGAGATAAAGAGTAGAAAGTTAAATATTATTTTTAGTTTTTATCTTTTTGAATGGAAAGAGTTGAGTGCTTAAACGGGGCTTCAAACTCGGGTATTCAGCAGGGAATTTCCTGCCTATCCACCGGTGCACCCCACTGGTGGTATGCAAATGCTATATGTTAGGCGCAGTCACGCCCACCGTCGCGGAAGCGTTATCACCTGAGAGAAAGCCCTGGCTTTTGTTGTCACAAAAGCACAAGTCAACCTCTATATTCTTGTTTCTCAAAGGAAACGAGAATAGATAATGAAATTCTTATTTCTCAAAGGAAACAAGAATCGAAAGTGATATATTTCATCAAAGTGAAATATACACTCTTCCTCTCATCAGCTCTAAGACCGAATTTTGAGGGAACCTACAAGCAATAGCCAACAACCCAGAAAACAGTAAATACATGAGATTTACGTGGTTCGGCAAACTTGCCTACGTCCACGGGAGGGGTGAGGGGAGATTCCACTATAAGGAGAACACCGACGACTTGTACAATCCACAAGCTCGTCTCAAAGAAAAAGATCTAATTTTTACCCAAAAGAAATTTACCTCTCTTTTGTAAATCTCTCTTTTTTTTCTCTCCTCAAAAACTCTCTGCTTTTACTCTCAAAAACAACTGAAAGAAAAAAAAACTTTTCAACCCTCTGTTTTTTTTTCGCAGACTTTCCCCTAAGCCGCTGTTCCCCACAACCTGCAGCCAAAAAAAAATTTTCCCCACACAGTAACCCTAGCGACTTTAGGGTATATATAGCATTAGCACCGCTCATCAATTTCGTTCAGGACGAAACCCAAACAGGCCCACTCGTGGGTAATTGCAATCATGTATTGTGTGGCCCCCACAATACCACATGTGTTCACAATTCTCCACCTCGTACATCATTTGATAAACCTCAAATTATGGACGAATACCAGAAGAACACCGCGAACATCACCAGAGAGATCTAAACAACAAAACCAGGCCAAAACCAGGCCAAACCAGCTGCGCCACTTTACCGCGGCTACCTACGTACCCTCCACCGGGATCAAGCTAACCGTAGTCCAGGAATATGTTCTCTATCATAGTCTCCACCTCACCCCATCACCGCCCCGAAGGGCCATGCCCTCTCGGACAAATCAACACGGGCTAATATGAAGCAAGTCTAAGCAATGCTTAAACTTGCTACCTGTGACCACCTTGGTCAAAATGTCTGCTGGATTCTCATTCGTGTGCACCTTCATGAGAGAAATATCACATTCCTCTATGACATCCCGCACAAAATGATACCTGACATCGATATGCTTGGTGCGAGCATGATGAACTTGATTCTTCGCCAAGTGAATCGCACCACAAGTTCACGTTTTCCTGCTCAATCCCCAAATCGTCTAGAAGACCCCACAACCACAATGCTTCCTTCACTCCCTCCGCCATGGCCATGTACTCGGCCTCTGTAGTAGAAAGTGCCACTGTAGCCTGTAACATCGATCGCCAACTAACTGGAGCCCCGCATAATCAGAGTCAACAAACCCGTCAATCTGACATGTATCTCCACCAAAACACAGACCCGTGTTCACGGTACCTTTCAAGTACCTCAGGACCCATTTCACCGCTTCCCAGTGCGCCTTTCCCGGATTCGCCATGAACCTGCTGACCACACTAACCGCTTGTGAAATATCTGGACGTGTACACACCATGGCGTACATCAAACTACCAACTGCACTAGCATAAGGAACACGCTCCATGTGTGCCTAATCTTCCGCTGTAGTGGGAGATTGTTTACCTGAAAGCCTGAAGTGTGGAGCCAATGGAGTCGCCACCGAAGCCTGAAGTGTGGAGCCAATGGAGTCGCCACCGACTTAGCACTTTGCATCCCGAACCTCGCGATCACCAGCTCTATATAGCCCTTCTGACTCAAGAACAATCGCCGATTCGCCCGCTCTCTTCTAATCTCCATACCCAGTAATTTTCTAGCAGCGCTCATGTCCTTCATCTCGAACTCTTTACCAAGTTGAAATTTTAACCTATCTATCTCCACCCCGCTCTTAGAAGCAATAAGCATGTCATCCACATACAAAAGGAGATAGATATAATCACCTCCACGACGCTTCCGAATGTAAACACAGCAATCGTAATCACTTCGGGAAAATCCATGCTTCAGCATGAAGGAGTCAAATCGCTTGTACCACTCCTGAGGAGATTGCTTCAGTCCATAGAGTGACTTCCTCAAGCGACATACATGATGCTCCTTATCCTCAACCTTGTAACCCTCAGGTTGATGCATGTAGATCTCTTCATCCAAGTCTCCGTGCAAGAAGGCAGTTTTAACATCGAGTTGTTCCAGCTCAAGATCACCATGAGCAACAATACTCAATAGCACCCGAATAGAAGTGTGTTTCACCACCGGAGAAAAGATCTCATTGTAATCCACACCCTCTCTTTGTGCAAACCCTTTAGCCACTAGCCTCGCCTTGTACCTTGTACCACCAAGCTCTGAAGGATCTTCCTTTCTCTTATACACCCACTTACAACCAATAGCTTTTCTTCCTACGGGCAATGGGACCACCTCCCATGTTTGGTTCTTCCGAAGAGATTCCATCTCCTCCTCCATCGCAGCCAACCAACTCTCACTATCTTTGTCCCTAATAGCTTCCTTGAAGGAGAACGGCTCATCTTGATCTTGATCTTGATATCGCCTAGCCCCACCGTTTTACAAGCATGGTTTTTTTCCATCAATACGGTTCCACCATCAATGCTCCTGTAGGTAGTAAACCACTTCCTATTTGGACACATGTGGTAAGAGCAACCAGAATCAAGTATCCACTTCCCGGAGGTATCCTCGCCACCCGTGACGATATAGCATTCCTTATCGCTCCCTTCCTCCGAGGCGTAACTCGCCTCTTCCTTGCCTTCTCTTCTCTCGGTCTTGTTGTTGTTCTTTTTCCCACCTACTCTCTTGTTTGGACAGTCGACCTTGAAATGCCCAACTTCACCGCATTTGAAGCACGCTCTTCTCGCAAGAGGTCTCGATTTAGATCTAGACTTTCCTCCCTTGCCTTTTCCTCGCTCATTGCCTCTTCCTCTGGCAAACAGTCCCTGCGCTTGTTCTTTGTTACGATTGATGAGCCCTCCTCCATCTTGCAAGTATACAATTTGGATTTCAAATAGATCCGGTTTGTTAGACTCTTCGTCATGAAGGTGCTTTCTAACTTCAACCACACGCCCGCAGCCGTTTCCTCTCCATCTACCAAGAAAGCTACATCCCTTTCAAGGCAAAGGATAATCGACGCCCGTGCTTCCAGATCCAGCTCCTCCCAATCCTCATCAGACATATCCTTGTGCTTCTTCTCTTTTCCCGCCAAAGCTTTGTGCAATTTCTGCGAAATCAACGTGTTCTTCATCTGCATCCTCCAATAGGAAAAATCATTCTTCCCATTGAATTTTTCAATCTCGTATTTTCCCACTTTAACTGTTTTACTTGTTGATGCCATTCTCCGCTTGTATTAATAAATCTGCTTCTCTCAGGAAATTGTCGAGCACCACCTCAAACCAGAAGCTACACCACTCCCAATCTGATTAACAGCTCTGATACCAATTGTTAGGCGCAGTCACGCCCACCGCCGCGGAAGCGTTATCACCTGAGAGAAAGCTCTGGCTTTTGTTGTCACAAAAGCACAAGTCAACCTCTATATTCTTGTTTCTCAAAGGAAACGAGAATAGATAATAAAATTCTTATTTCTCAAAGGAAACAAGAATCGAAAGTGATATATTTCATCAAAGTGAAATATACACTCTTCCTATCATCAGTTCTAGTACTGAAATGTCGAGGGAACCTACAAGTAATAGCTATACACTCTTCCTCTCATCAGCTCTAAGACCGAATTTTGAGGGAACCTACAAGCAATAGCCAACAACCAAGAAAACAGTAAATACACGAGATTTACGTGGTTCGGCAAACTTGCCTACGTCCACGGGAGGGGTGAGGTGAGATTCCACTATAAGGAGAACACCGACGATTTGTACAATCCACAAGCTCGTCTCAAAGAAAAAGATCTAATTTTTACCCAAAAGAAATTGACCTCTCTTTTGTAAATCTCTTTTTTTTTTCTCTCCTCAAAAACTCTCTGCTTTTACTCTCAAAAACAACCGAAATAAAAAAAAGTTTTCAACCCTCTGTTTTTTTTTTTTTTTTCGCAGACTTTCCCCTAAGCCGCTGTTCCCCACAACCTGCAGCCAAAAAAAAATTTTCCCCACACAGTAACCCTAGCGACTTTAGGGTATATATAGCATTAGCACCGCTCATCAATTTCGTTCAGGACGAAACCCGAACAGGCCCACTCGTGGGTAATTGCAATCATGTATTGTGTGGCCCCCACAATACCACATGTGTTCACACTATATAAACCAAGTACGAGTGCAACAAATAAGTACAGCGAGAGTAAATTACCCTGTTTCCTCCGATCCGAATCAAGATATCAAGAACAGACAGCGGGACTTGGTTCTCTAGCCTATAAAAGTCCAACCACAATCCCCGGCTGAGATGTGATTCCTCGGGTTGCAGAGAATCCTGTCTATGACAATCCAACACGAAGCACCCATCAAGTATCATCAGCTCCAAGAGCCGATCCTCGTTGGTCCAAGGCTCCTCCAGACCATCGTACGAGTCCATGATTTCCTGGACCATGGGCCTCATGGCATCCACCACCTGCGCCACGGTCATACCGGCCCGCTGAAGGTACTGGGCAAGAACCAAGCGTTTGTCGGGCTCCATGCTCTGTAGGTGGGGCTTGCCGTGGTGATAGGGCCCAATGGAGATGATCTGGGGTGTGTAGGCCTCTTCGTGGAGGTCCCTTAAAATCTTAGGCACCCTGTAGATGCTCGGCGTCTTCCTTCTCTGCAGGGAGGGCGTAGAGTTGATCTCGTCGACCTCTGATTGCAGGTTGATGATCCATTGCTGCTGCTCTCCCATACTTTTGATCTTTTTGTTTTCCTCTCTTTGTGATGGAAATGGTCGCAAGTGATCTGCTGGTTATATTCGAGAGAGGGTTTGGAAAAAGGTGAATGGTTGGGGAGATAAAGTTATATTATCTAGGGCCCATAAGGAAGTCCTAATGCGCAAGCTATCCCAACTTATGCTATGATCTATCATGTATTGCCAAAGATTCTCTTTTTTTTTTCAATGAAAATTTTATTTCATTTATCAAGAGCGTCTGAGTTACTTCAATTGACGAAGGTAGTTCGATGTGTTATATGTCCATGAGATTTATTGCTCGATAGGAATTGGGGTCGAGTTGGTGAAGGAGAAGTAACCTAGGATATAAGGGTTAAGCTTGTGACACAAATTTTCTGATAATATCTAAGGAGGTTTTTCTGATAATTCCTATACTCGGGGCTGGGCTAAGCGAACTTCGATTTGAATCGATCAAATCGACCGAACCGGCTGCTTTCCAATAGTTCGATTCGGTTTTGAAGAAAGTTCGGTTTGGGTTACTTAATTTTACAGCCGAGTACACGGACCCGACCGAAACTAGCTATGTCAAGCTCTTGACGGCTTTTTCCAGGGAACACAGTTAGTTTATTCATAGGATTTTATCTGTCACTCTTTTATAGAGCCCACTAAATGACCCACGTGGCTCCTCTTTGCTAACTATCAAACAATATGGAGAGAGGATCTCAAAAGTCGCATCCATCTTCCAACACCTCAAAAGTAAAGGCCGAAGGCCATGGCATATCTCCTACAACGAGTTAGGATCGAAGGAAAGTTACCAAAATAAATTAAATTCTCAAGCAACTATTTGATTTTGTTTTTCTCTTAATGTGTACTTTCCTTAATCCTTCTTCAAAGTATCTTCTCCTTTTTTGTACCCAAGAATCCATCTTCCAACACCTCAAAAGTAAAGGCCGAAGGCCATGACATATCTCCTACAACAAGTTAGGATCGAATGAAAGTTACCAAAATAAATTAAATTCTCAAGCAACTATTTGATTTTGTTTTTCTCTTAATGTGTACTTTCCTTAATCCTTCTTCAAAGTATCTTCTCCTTTTTTGTACCCAAGAATCCATCTTCCAACACCTCAAAAGTAAAGGCCGAAGGCCATGACATATCTCCTACAACAAGTTAGGATCGAATGAAAGTTACCAAAATAAATTAAATTCTCAAGCAACTATTTGATTTTGTTTTTCTCTTAATGTGTACTTTCCTTAATCCTTCTTCAAAGTATCTTCTCCTTTTTTGTACCCAAGAATCCATCTTCCAACACCTCAAAAGTAAAGGCCGAAGGCCATGACATATCTCCTACAACAAGTTAGGATCGAATGAAAGTTACCAAAATAAATTAAATTCTCAAGCAACTATTTGATTTTGTTTTTCTCTTAATGTGTACTTTCCTTAATCCTTCTTCAAAGTATCTTCTCCTTTTTTGTACCCAAGAATCCATCTTCCAACACCTCAAAAGTAAAGGCCGAAGGCCATGACATATCTCCTACAACAAGTTAGGATCGAATGAAAGTTACCAAAATAAATTAAATTCTCAAGCAACTATTTGATTTTGTTTTTCTCTTAATGTGTACTTTCCTTAATCCTTCTTCAAAGTATCTTCTCCTTTTTTGTACCCAAGAATCCATCTTCCAACACCTCAAAAGTAAAGGCCGAAGGCCATGACATATCTCCTACAACAAGTTAGGATCGAATGAAAGTTACCAAAATAAATTAAATTCTCAAGCAACTATTTGATTTTGTTTTTCTCTTAATGTGTACTTTCCTTAATCCTTCTTCAAAGTATCTTCTCCTTTTTTGTACCCAAGAATCCATCTTCCAACACCTCAAAAGTAAAGGCCGAAGGCCATGACATATCTCCTACAACAAGTTAGGATCGAATGAAAGTTACCAAAATAAATTAAATTCTCAAGCAACTATTTGATTTTGTTTTTCTCTTAATGTGTACTTTCCTTAATCCTTCTTCAAAGTATCTTCTCCTTTTTTGTACCCAAGAATCCATCTTCCAACACCTCAAAAGTAAAGGCCGAAGGCCATGACATATCTCCTACAACAAGTTAGGATCGAATGAAAGTTACCAAAATAAATTAAATTCTCAAGCAACTATTTGATTTTGTTTTTCTCTTAATGTGTACTTTCCTTAATCCTTCTTCAAAGTATCTTCTCCTTTTTTGTACCCAAGAATCCATCTTCCAACACCTCAAAAGTAAAGGCCGAAGGCCATGACATATCTCCTACAACAAGTTAGGATCGAATGAAAGTTACCAAAATAAATTAAATTCTCAAGCAACTATTTGATTTTGTTTTTCTCTTAATGTGTACTTTCCTTAATCCTTCTTCAAAGTATCTTCTCCTTTTTTGTACCCAAGAATCCATCTTCCAACACCTCAAAAGTAAAGGCCGAAGGCCATGACATATCTCCTACAACAAGTTAGGATCGAATGAAAGTTACCAAAATAAATTAAATTCTCAAGCAACTATTTGATTTTGTTTTTCTCTTAATGTGTACTTTCCTTAATCCTTCTTCAAAGTATCTTCTCCTTTTTTGTACCCAAGAATCCATCTTCCAACACCTCAAAAGTAAAGGCCGAAGGCCATGACATATCTCCTACAACAAGTTAGGATCGAATGAAAGTTACCAAAATAAATTAAATTCTCAAGCAACTATTTGATTTTGTTTTTCTCTTAATGTGTACTTTCCTTAATCCTTCTTCAAAGTATCTTCTCCTTTTTTGTACCCAAGAATCCATCTTCCAACACCTCAAAAGTAAAGGCCGAAGGCCATGACATATCTCCTACAACAAGTTAGGATCGAATGAAAGTTACCAAAATAAATTAAATTCTCAAGCAACTATTTGATTTTGTTTTTCTCTTAATGTGTACTTTCCTTAATCCTTCTTCAAAGTATCTTCTCCTTTTTTGTACCCAAGAATCCATCTTCCAACACCTCAAAAGTAAAGGCCGAAGGCCATGACATATCTCCTACAACAAGTTAGGATCGAATGAAAGTTACCAAAATAAATTAAATTCTCAAGCAACTATTTGATTTTGTTTTTCTCTTAATGTGTACTTTCCTTAATCCTTCTTCAAAGTATCTTCTCCTTTTTTGTACCCAAGAATCCATCTTCCAACACCTCAAAAGTAAAGGCCGAAGGCCATGACATATCTCCTACAACAAGTTAGGATCGAATGAAAGTTACCAAAATAAATTAAATTCTCAAGCAACTATTTGATTTTGTTTTTCTCTTAATGTGTACTTTCCTTAATCCTTCTTCAAAGTATCTTCTCCTTTTTTGTACCCAAGAATCCATCTTCCAACACCTCAAAAGTAAAGGCCGAAGGCCATGACATATCTCCTACAACAAGTTAGGATCGAATGAAAGTTACCAAAATAAATTAAATTCTCAAGCAACTATTTGATTTTGTTTTTCTCTTAATGTGTACTTTCCTTAATCCTTCTTCAAAGTATCTTCTCCTTTTTTGTACCCAAGAATCCATCTTCCAACACCTCAAAAGTAAAGGCCGAAGGCCATGACATATCTCCTACAACAAGTTAGGATCGAATGAAAGTTACCAAAATAAATTAAATTCTCAAGCAACTATTTGATTTTGTTTTTCTCTTAATGTGTACTTTCCTTAATCCTTCTTCAAAGTATCTTCTCCTTTTTTGTACCCAAGAATCCATCTTCCAACACCTCAAAAGTAAAGGCCGAAGGCCATGACATATCTCCTACAACAAGTTAGGATCGAATGAAAGTTACCAAAATAAATTAAATTCTCAAGCAACTATTTGATTTTGTTTTTCTCTTAATGTGTACTTTCCTTAATCCTTCTTCAAAGTATCTTCTCCTTTTTTGTACCCAAGAATCCATCTTCCAACACCTCAAAAGTAAAGGCCGAAGGCCATGACATATCTCCTACAACAAGTTAGGATCGAATGAAAGTTACCAAAATAAATTAAATTCTCAAGCAACTATTTGATTTTGTTTTTCTCTTAATGTGTACTTTCCTTAATCCTTCTTCAAAGTATCTTCTCCTTTTTTGTACCCAAGAATCCATCTTCCAACACCTCAAAAGTAAAGGCCGAAGGCCATGACATATCTCCTACAACAAGTTAGGATCGAATGAAAGTTACCAAAATAAATTAAATTCTCAAGCAACTATTTGATTTTGTTTTTCTCTTAATGTGTACTTTCCTTAATCCTTCTTCAAAGTATCTTCTCCTTTTTTGTACCCAAGAATCCATCTTCCAACACCTCAAAAGTAAAGGCCGAAGGCCATGACATATCTCCTACAACAAGTTAGGATCGAATGAAAGTTACCAAAATAAATTAAATTCTCAAGCAACTATTTGATTTTGTTTTTCTCTTAATGTGTACTTTCCTTAATCCTTCTTCAAAGTATCTTCTCCTTTTTTGTACCCAAGAATCCATCTTCCAACACCTCAAAAGTAAAGGCCGAAGGCCATGACATATCTCCTACAACAAGTTAGGATCGAATGAAAGTTACCAAAATAAATTAAATTCTCAAGCAACTATTTGATTTTGTTTTTCTCTTAATGTGTACTTTCCTTAATCCTTCTTCAAAGTATCTTCTCCTTTTTTGTACCCAAGAATCCATCTTCCAACACCTCAAAAGTAAAGGCCGAAGGCCATGACATATCTCCTACAACAAGTTAGGATCGAATGAAAGTTACCAAAATAAATTAAATTCTCAAGCAACTATTTGATTTTGTTTTTCTCTTAATGTGTACTTTCCTTAATCCTTCTTCAAAGTATCTTCTCCTTTTTTGTACCCAAGAATCCATCTTCCAACACCTCAAAAGTAAAGGCCGAAGGCCATGACATATCTCCTACAACAAGTTAGGATCGAATGAAAGTTACCAAAATAAATTAAATTCTCAAGCAACTATTTGATTTTGTTTTTCTCTTAATGTGTACTTTCCTTAATCCTTCTTCAAAGTATCTTCTCCTTTTTTGTACCCAAGAATCCATCTTCCAACACCTCAAAAGTAAAGGCCGAAGGCCATGACATATCTCCTACAACAAGTTAGGATCGAATGAAAGTTACCAAAATAAATTAAATTCTCAAGCAACTATTTGATTTTGTTTTTCTCTTAATGTGTACTTTCCTTAATCCTTCTTCAAAGTATCTTC